GAACCGACTCAGCAGTAGTGCTGAAAGCCAAATTCTGTTGCGGATGCTGATTTCAGAAGATCTCCAGACTAATTTCAGGGTGTTGAAGGTCTGTCTTGCATATCTCATTCTGACTGGCTTTGACATCGCTGATATTAGAGGGTTGAAGGCAATCGGCCACAGGAACACTTGGACGTAGGTTTCGTGCCAGTTGGCATTCACCAGTCAGCAAGGCGTATCTGCCACCGTGAAGGAACTCATGTCCCTTCCGATATTCGAACCCGCGTCACGTAGTGAGTTCTGCAGTCAGGGACATGACCACTGAGGTATTCGGGCTCGCGACTGACCTCCTTTAGGACTCTACTGCATATTTTTATTGAACACTATTCAGTGACTAGTGTAATGTGTCTAGTCCTCTGTTTGGTGCAGCACTCTGACTGCAGCACTGGGTGACGCGGGTTTGAATCTCAGAAGAGAGATGAATTCCTTCGAGGCTGCAGATGCGCCTTGCTGACTAGTGAGTGCCAACTACCATCAAACCTAGGTCGAAGGCTTCCTGTCGATTGCCTCCAACCATCTAACAACAACAATTCAAAGTGCACCGTGGTGGCGAGCCATCTAGAATGGTGGCTACATCGCAAACGTGACTGATAGACTTCAGTTTGCACCAAACAGAGGACTAGATACATCACACTAGTTGCTAACTAGTAGATAAAAGCATGGTTTCGTACCAATTCTCGCAGAGGGTTAAGTCGTCCATCTTTGGTAGTTTGACAAAGTTTTTCTTACTGCCAATGTATACACATATAATTATGTTATACTTACATATCGTATAACTAAACCCTAATTATGCTCATAACACAAAACTCGTCGGCATCCATTAAGGTGACAGTAGACAACAGAACAACTATTCTCTTTTACAGAGAGATACTTATCCAGTTATATGTTTAAAGGGAACGCATTTAATACATCATTCCAATATATCGGAGACGGAACACTCAGAATTTTGTGTAGTCAAAATAAATAATTCGAAAATGGCGCCGTTTACATTGCAGATATTTTCAACATTTCATAACCAGTTAAAACACGAGGTAAATACAGTCTAGAATTCTTGTTCTGCCTTTCTAATTACCAGTAGAACTTCCAGTAAAGGCTGCATAAATTTAAAACAGAATTATATATATAAATCAGTCATGTAAAATACATATTATAAAGCTATAAAATGTAATTTTGTCTGGTGTGGTCTTACATAAAACATGATCAACCAGATGATATATATATATTATTGAAAGATTAAATGTACAATAATTGTACACTGAATACTTTGAATTATGCGCACATGAATACATAAACAACTAGAGCATAATTACAATAATGTCACAAATACTAAGGAGGCGGTGGCTGGGGGGGGGGGGAAATTACATGAATAGAAACTTCTATAATAAATTATGCTTTTAAAAGGAATTAACAGACCTTGGTCAACTGATTTTTTAGTTGTTTAATTCAGGGTGAATGTTAGCATGTCGCATGGACAGAAGGTATTGTTGCTGTCCGAGTCTGCTTATGTTTAACGCTATTCTAAATGGTTTGCGCACTAATGAAGAGTCCTAAACTTGGACGGGGCGGCTTTCCAGTCCCTCCTGGTTTTCAGTGACTCTCTAACTGATGTTACTTCGTAAGGAAATCTACATTGAATATAAGCCCTTAATTACTAATCACCGAATCGTGAGTGCAAATCGACAATCGATCAAATTTTAAACCGTCGATTACTAATTCAATCTTGGTGTGCTCCAAAAAATAATCGTCATGATCCGAAGGCTCCCGGTTCCAATCCCACTGCGATGTTGACTTCCATTTAGTCTTCAGTTGTCAGGAATCTTAGGTTACCACAGTTTCATCATTATTAAAAAATGTTTTTGTAGAACGTTCTATTTTTGTTTGGAGAACTCTTTGTTTTACGAGTTGATCACGGACTGATATCAGTTAGACAACCATTGAAAACCAGGGAGTACTGGACAGCTGCTGTTTCATCCTAGTTTTGGGAATCATCGGCAGTACGCACCCACTGAGATTCGAACCCAGGACCTTCCGGTTACAAGGCAAGCTCGTATACCATTCAGCCACTGGGACCCGATTCAATGGCCACTGCATGAATTCTAACTTCTACCAATTCGTGATTTTAGCGCGACCCCAACTCTTGTCGTTGGTGGAAATACATCCACACGTGACTTCTAATTGGGCCTCACTGGTCACGACTTCTCACTAGAACTGCAGGAAGCTCCAACCTGTAGCAAGTCACTAGCGAGCTGTCCAGTACTCCCTGGTTTTCAATGGTTCTCTAACTGATATCAGTCCGTGATCAACTCGTAAAACACAACTAATCCTTACAAACCAAACTATAGAAAAGAACTCTTTGTTTCATTTTTTGCGCACACACGCCGACTTTCAATACACCAAGAAATAAACTTGAATTGAATTTCCTGCAACCGCCAAAGAAAACAAACTGACTACATTAAAAAAGTGTTCATTTCTGTTAATTTATTAGAAGATCGAATAAGAAATATTTGGTTTACCACATACTCTATTTTGATTTCTCCAAGTTTATAGTTGGATAGTTTTAATTTCAGGGTACATTTGCTCCTCGCACAGTGAACAAGACCTCTCCTCACTACATGTTCTATACTTTGAGGTGAAGAACCTACAGTGTTTATATTTATGAAGCTATTCAATAAGTGAAGCAGTTGTAAATGTTGTCACCTGCATTGCAATTTAGTCATGTGGGCTGAATTAGTACTTAAATGCAATTACGATTTATTTCTCTCAGAGTTAATAACATTCTCAAAGAAAGAGAGTTATTATTAGATTGTTGGAGGCAATCGGCAGGAAGCCTTGGACCTAGGTTTTGTGTTTTTGGCACCTGTTAGCAAGCATGAGACCTACGTCGAAGCCTTCCTGTCGATTGCCTCCACCCGTCTAATAACAACAATCCTGATTGTACCGTGATGGCGAGCCATCTACCATGGTGGACACATTGCAAACTCTACTGATAGAATTCAGTCTGCAGTAAACAAATAACTAGACAGATGACACTAATTAGTGTCCGATCAAAACAGAAAATTATTTTTAGATTTAATAAATGTATAAAATCACAACAAAGTAGTACTGTATTTCATTATTATAGCGTATAACATTGCAGCCCAGCTTCTTATCAGTAGTAAAGTCGGATCGTACATTCCATTTCCTAAGGAGTGTTCAGTCATTTTATGTATTCCATCATATGTTTGTTGAACAGAGTAATTGATTTTTATGCTTTTGTTTGCTATTGGATTTCATCCCGATATCCAAATGATGATGTGATTGTCTGTTAACCTGGAGGTCGTAAGTTCGCCTACTAATGACGTCATGGTTGCATTACTCGTGAACAGTCCCAAATTAGAACAAAACTGATGTCGAACATTTCCTTGTTTCAAATGTTTCTCCCATGGCTTTTTCTGTTCTGGATAAAGTTTAATCTTAAATGAACTTTTACATGATGGATAATGATTTTGTTTTGAAATTTTGACATCTACACTGCATTGCATAGCTTCACATTTACTTGAACACTGTTGAGTAATAGCCAAACAAAACTGTATTAGATCATATAAGAAATAGTATGTATAACTTTATGTTAAGATAGTTGAACAGTGTTTATGATAATGAGCAGAATTTTTAGCGGAGTTTATTGTTTGATGTTTTCTCTTCGTCCAGAACCTTCAGATTAAGCATTAATTGACGACAGATCGTGTGACACTTCAAGCGCAAACAGGTTAATTATAACATCTCCAACTTGTCTCCTTCAGAAAAGCGCCGGAAATTTGGCTGAAAGACAATTGTAAAGTGTGCAGGAGTACATTTTCAGGCCAAAGAACATACGTTAGGAACAGTAATTTCATGTAATTAGAATTTAATTGGGGGATGGTGACTAGCAGTGGAATTCATGATAGCACATTTCGTCCTACTTGGGACTCGTCATCTGGATGTACCTGCATTCCCCAGTGAGTGATGATGTTCCCACCGAGGCTCAAACCTAGTGCCCATAGTTTCAAACATCATCACTCACTGGGGAATGCAGGTACATCCAGTGGCTGACGAGTCCCAAATAGGACGAAATGCGCATCGTGGATTCCACTGCTAGTCACCATCCACCAATTAAATTCTAATTACATGCCCGAAAATCGTCAAAGCATCTGCACAAGAAGCCTACATGTCAACCTGAGACCGAGCACTTCGGTCCAATCAACTGACGGGAAAATCTAAAATTCAATTAAAGTAATTTCATGTGTTGAGATATCTTGCCACTCAGGATTACACTTTTTCTCAAGTTTAGAAGAAACTTGTGAATCAACTGGTCGCAAACTTTATAAATACTCGCAAAAGTAAACAAAACTATTAGCGATCATATCTTAATAGATTAAGACAAACTGAAAAAGGGAAATTATACACAATATATTGATGGAGGCTTTCGGTAGACCGAGTTCTAAGCAGGCCGCCGTTGTATATCCTTCGCTATGATAAAGAATGATCTAAGGTCTAGTATTATGGGGGAGGTGTTCGTGGTAAGTTAGAAACCCTATTTACAAAAAATAGGGTTCATGGTAGTACTGCTGACTTTTGTGAATCAGTGTAGGGAAGTAAATAAATCCATGCATACGTAGCCCAATTTTGAATGTTTTTTCCTTCACGTTCCCAGTGGAACATAGGGCGTCACGCAAGTTACTTGAAGTTTCTGTAGCAGTGTTGATTTTAACAGGATAGGGTTGCTAGCCTCATGCCCAACCTTTCCTCTTCACCAGCATTATTTCTGGCTTAGCGAGGTAAAGGGGTGCGTCGGCCGGGGATCGAACCCCGGACCATGTGCCTCGGTTGGCGAGCGTCCTAACCACTATGCCGCCGACGCACATTTTTGAATGTACTCAACTATTAATTTAGTATGTGTCAGTCAATCAAATGTTAATGTTAACGTTTTTTCTTATTTATTCAAGGGTACAGCAGTTTATCAGTCAGAAGAGGATGATGGTGAAGATGCCGATGACAGTGAACCAATATTAGTAGATCCATCATCACAGGCTGGTCTAAAAGCAGTTCGCAGTGATGTTGAAGAACGTGCACTTGATCCAAATCATAATTTTTTCGTTCTAGTTGATGATGGAACAACGGATCAATTGAAAGGTAAAGATGCTGAATTCCGTGCACGATTTGAACGTTGTATATCTTTATGGAGTTGTGCAAGTAGTTCTCAAGAACAAAGTACAACTGGTGCCAATCAACAGGGTGGAGTACCAGGTTCTACAACGCATTTACAACAACCTCAAGGTGGTGTCCCTTCATCTTCGCCTAGCAGTAACACGAATCAGACTACAGGAGCATTACAAAGACAAGGCAGTACGATTGCTGGACAAACTAGTACAACGTCTGGACCACAGACCAGTGCAACATCAATTGGTAAAAGCTCAGGTACTACTGGCGGTTCATCGAGTACTTCTGCTTTAGGCAGAGGTGCAACAGAACAGTCAGGTGGGCCTGGTGTCCGTGGAGCGAAAGATAAACCCAATGCTGATCCAAGTGTTAGTAAACCAACTAAAAGTGGAAAGTCTGAAGAAGATGTTCTTGTACCTATGTGTGGACTAGTTGTTGGCGGAGATCGATTTACTCTACGCCAAGTTTATTGTTCCATGATTCGAAATCGTTGTCCAATTGTCGTTACAAAGGTAATAACTAGGTGGTTATTCAAATTGTTTGACTTTTTACACTGACATGCTGTTGAATTCTGTTTTCATAGTTCCTAATAATTCGTTTTATCATGATGACCTTTCACTTCAACTGAAGCCGACCAGGTAAATTCTGTAATTTTCTGAAATACACTAAAGTACGATGAGGAAACTGAGTGATAGGCTGTAAGATGTAAGCATCTAAACATTTATTAGTGTTGCAGTGAAAAGTCCGGGAGTAAGTGACATATCTGTGTTAGTTATAAGTGTACAGTGATTATTGGGCATATTATCAAAACATGGAAATTCAGTAGCCTCATTCTGTCAGATTAGTGGCATAAACAACTGTCTGACATTCTGCGACACATGACTCAAAAATAGCCAACTACAAGGAGACCAATTACTAGAATTTTCCTTATTATGTTCATACTGTACTCAAAAAAGTGAAATATTTTGGAAAAAACTAAAAAAGATAGTTAATAAACTAGCAATAGTAATATGTTCAGGTTCTGTTCCCATGAAACTAAAGGATAGCTATTCCTTGAATATTGGCGTGTGGTATGAAGAACAAAGTAGCTGAGCAAGAGGTTAGGAAAACTTGCGGAGAAGATTGCCCATAGTCTCTCATCTCCTCCTTGCATGGTCTCCTTTATGCCACCTTCATAGCGACGCCTAACTGGTCGTTTCCTACTCAGCTTTCACTCGAGGGATGTCATTCACTGGTCTCCTCAACGTGTGTCCTATCCATCTGCGTTCTATTCAGAATATTTGTTGAGCGATATACTCTTGGTTAGCTAGTTCCCAAAGTTTCTTGTTAACAATTTTTTCCGGCCAACTGGCCACTTGATCTTCAATATGGAGCCAGGGAAGGTAGCTATTAGTAAAAGTTTGTAGTAGTCTGTTGGAATTGGTTTTCGTGACGCGCGAATTGAGTTTCCGACCCCTAAAGAAGCACTAACTGACTTAATATTTGTGCTGAAACTCCAAGTCTCGTTCGTTATGCAGAAGATTTTCAAATTGATTTCGGATTGATGGATGTTTATCTTGCCTTTCTGATTCTGGCTTTAACAACTTCATCCATTCCACCGCCTGTAGTTGAAAATATGCTTCCCAGATAAGTGAAGGAAGTGACCTTTTTCCCACTTCTTCAGTTGATGGTGAATGGCGCTGATTGTTGTTTCTGTAGTTCGATTGTCTTCATCACCTCCGTCTTCTATATGTTCACCTGAAGTCCCGAGTTTGCTAATTCTTCAGCTAGTTTACTGTCTTTAGCCTGTAAGTCTTATTGTTTGTATGATTTCGGATGTCAAACGCCGTAATCAATAGTTCCACACGACGGTCTACAATACACTTGATCATTTTAAGTTAGTTTCCATTACAAACTGCCGTTACCGCAAAGCTTATTGGATATATTTACGGTAAGGGATACCAGTCCATATGACGACTCTTACTTCTAATATTCTGACGTATTACATAGCTATTCCCTTAATAAATTCGGTTGGTGTGTTTCAGTAAAAGATGGGGTTTATCTGAAGATTGTGGCGTTATGTTGTGTTGCAATACATTTTGAACAACCTCATCGGAACGTCATTCATATGCAAAATGAAAAATGTGAAACGTCAAATAAAATAGACAAAATGAAGGGAAATTTAAGAGCAGGGGGGAGTAGTTAACACTATCATTGGTTACGTAATCAGATAGGCATTACCTAAGTAGATTAGGGGTGACAATACACTACGTGCATGCACACAAGAGAGAATGGAGCTAATCTTGTGGATGCCTAACGTCTTAGCATAGCTTAATACGCACCTCTGTCTGTCTTGACAAATATTTTTGAAAGGTGCTTAGGTATCAGTCTTGTAATTCATAGACGATGCTAACAGTCGGCTACTTGTGTCTATCTAGACTTCTAAACCCAGTTATTTTTCAAGCTATATGTGTTTATGTTTCCCCGCTTTCACAAACTTTATATTTAATTTTTAAGGGTACTTCTGGAGCTGCAGATGTGATAGCATTTGGATTAGATGCAGCAAATAAAATGGCTTCAGAAGAAGTTGTTGACGATAAAGATCAAGTACCATTGGAAGCCAGGTAATCTCACTTTACTTTTCTTTTATTATAGTTAATTGTTCCTCAGAGAGAACCTTTTAAAACTGTTACATTAATGGTTCTAAGACTATTCAGAAACATCACAGCTACTAGTCTTTAGAAGAAAACCCCTAGGCGAACAGCACTGCTTTAAACGACGTCTCCGCAAGCTTTGAAAACAAATATTTTTAAAGAACGACCATAACCGACTTATTGTAGCCTTAACACACAAAACCGATCTGTCCACAAGAATCACACATCAGTACTTCCCGCAGACAGTCCAAGGTTAGAATGACCTTGATCCACTGAAAGAAAATCACATAATAAAACAACACATTGTCAATATCATCCTAAAATCACAAAGTGGAGCATTAAAATTGGAGATTGAACAGGAACAAAGATAAATAATGGGGACTAGGTTAGCAGGTGATATAGAAACTTCAGAACAGTCAAACATAGCTTAGAATAAAAGGAGAATATAAGTGCAAAGTTGGTTGAAACGTTATATTTTAATTGCGCAATTGTGTAATTATTGTAATGATGCAGTGAGTCACAATCGTAGAAGTAACACCATAGCGACAAATTATAAACGAACGCGTGATAAACATAGTGGTATGGAGCCATTAGACAGAATTAATAAGCTAGGGAGGCTGTAGAAAAGTTTCAAAATGAATTGAAATAGCAGCCAATGCTCCTCGACTTTCATATGGTTCTTCAGCTATTGTTCTTTCATGATGAAATCTACTTTAATAGATGCATGTAATGAAAATATTTCACAAAAGAAGCATTACATCTAATAGTAGCTAAGTTAGTTACCCCTTATGACACTACCGAAATCGTTAAGTGAGTTATGAATTGTTCACACTGTCTGCTTCATTTTTCCTCTTACAGAATAGAATCGATCATCGAGGAGTTTCTTAGCGATCTTCATCCAGACTATACAAATTATACCGATGAAGTGAACATGTTATGTGAGATAATCAACGACTATACAAATTTGGTGTCAGTATTCGATATGGAAGAAGACTCTGATCTTGATGGATACGTGATCTCATCTTTACTTGCAAGCGGTAAGTAAGCGGCATGTGTTTTTCCTGTTGCCTGCAGGTATAGTGGTGCGTCGGTGGCACTGAAGTAGAATGCTCGACGACCACGCATGTGGTCCGGGGTTCGATTTCAGGCCAACGTACTCCTTTACCCCTCTAAGCCACTACAAGTCTGGCAAAGAGGAAAGGTTGGGCATGAGGCTAGAGACCCGATCCCATAAAAATCAACACCGCTGCCCCCGAAACTTCACGCCTGTAGCTTGAAGCCCTATGTTCCAGTGGGAAGGTACAGGAATTAAAACAGTCTTGTTCAAAGTTACATGCTTATCCATATCTGCCTGACTACTTTTTTCTCTGCTTAAGTGAGTGTTTTTCTTTCCATAACGAATGGACAAGGTTGAGACTTCTGATGTTTACTGTTCACTTGAATGCTCTAACCTTCCCGTAGTTGTAATCGAGCTTTAATTACTTTCCTGAAATTTCAAAAACTGTGCCCCAGGTTGTTTGCTTTATCAACACACACAGAACATTTTTCAAACAGTCTATCGTTACAGCGTGTTTTAAAAAAGGATTGAAAGGCTTCCTATTATTATTACGTTTATCTACAGAATTAATTATAACATACTTGAATAGAGTTCATTTTTAAACAAACATTAATCGATCAGTTTATGCATACAGTAATAGTATACATAAAAATAAACACTTCATCCCAAGCAATAATGATCATACACAATGGAAACTTTTGGCATTACGCAAGCAGGAAAGACAGAGGATGAAAATATCCAGTTATCAGGATGGGCAAGGAAAGACTGATAACCACTTCTTTCTGAACACACGCATAAATCGGGTTTCAGGGGCTTGATGGAGATTGCTTTGTCAAACATTTGCCTACTGAGATCGAAAATTGAACGAATTGTTAACTACAGCAACAACAACAACAACAGACATTAATCAGCCAGCATGAATGGGAGAAATCTGAGAGAAGCAATCTCTTTTAGCTACCTACCTACCGACCTGGGAAGCATCGTTTCAACTACATGCGGGCGGAACTGATGAGGATATCAAAGCAGTGAGGATCGGGAAAGCAAGTCAAGCTTTTATTACTCTGATGTCTTTGTGGAGATCAACAGCACTCAGCATGGAAAACAAGATGCGGATTTTCCACTCCAGTATGAAGTCAGTGCTACTATATGGAAAAGATACTTGGCGTTTCACGAAGGCACTTTGAACAAACTGCACACCTTTATCAGTAGCTGTTTTCTCTCAATAATTCAATCAAGATCAGATGGCCAGCCAGAGAAGATCAGCAACAGGGATGGATCTCTGGGAACGAACCAGCCAACCTAGCAGGAACAAACAGTGCAACAAATATGCAGGAAAAAATGGAGTTAAGTGGATTGGCCATATACTGAGAAAACAAATCACCAAGTTACATCACATACCTAGCCATCGCTCGAGTGGAACCCGAATGGGAAGCTGCCAGTTGGTCGTCAGTGCGAGGGTGACATGGATGGGGTCATGTGAAGAGGAGATGAAAGCATGTGGCAGACTTGGAGCCAGGTGAAAACGTTGGCGGAGAACCGGATACATTGTATATTTCAGTGTTATGATTAAGCGATTCTTCAGCATCTGACAGCATAATATTGGTTCGCCTTCCTTCAGTGATGAACAAATGCAGAAGAAGATTGATAGCTGTTTACACTTTGGAACAATGAGTTACTACTTATGGTTGGGGAAGTTCCCACCACGAAACTTTGCAATGTGGCTGTATGCTGTGAAACATTCTGATTATTTAATTACAATAAAAACTGCAGTACAGCACAAGGCTAACTGAAGAAAATTAAGCCATTCATAATCATTTCTTAGTAATCATGTGCTTATCGACTTATTCCACAGGATTTTACTTCGTCAGTGGAAACTCGTTAAGGAACTGTTGTGGGCGTAATAACAGTGGTCTCGTTCCGACTGGGCAATATGTAAACAGTTACTAAAGTAGACTATTCCATGTCATATCATGTAAAGTACTTGATGCATTGCGATGAAATGCCCTCAACTAGGGCAAATCATTAACTAAACATTTCTGATTCCCTAGTAATATCATTCTTATCTAATGTGCATTTTTTGTTAACTAAATTTCATCATGGTTTATTTTTTCCACTATATTTTAGCCGGTTCAACGGTTGCATCAGATCAGATTAATTTAGAACAGTTGGAGATCACACTGACACTGAATCGTGCAGATATTGCACGTGAGAAAATATTTTTAGAAAATAAAAAATGGAAGGTGAGTGATGGCTTTATATTTGCTATAGCGTATTGTCACTATTCATGTCGTGAGTGATTGTGAAATGATTCCACATTATTAAATCTCCAAAGTGTTTCCTATTATCTGTGGTCCTCTTCGGCCGGCCCCACGATTGTCCAGTAGGCTCTCATCTGCTACTTACATAATTTCTTCTATGTCACCCTCACAGTGACTTCCAACTCGTCATTTGCCATTTGGTTTCCCCTCGAGCCGTCGCCTGGTTTTCGACAACATTCCACGGTCTCCTCAGTGGTGTGAGTCTGACCCATCTATTTTCATCTTCTTGGGTCGTTTTCAAAGTCTCTTTTTGTGACACCTCGTCTGATTGGCTTCCAGAAGGCTTTCACTAGCCCACACCATTTCATTTCTCAAGCCAACAAATCTAACCATATTTACTTTTCTCTAAAGAGTTTCCTACGCATAGTTAAAACGGGGACTTGGCGCGAGCGTCACGAAAAGCATTCACAACAGGCTGCTGTAGACTTTTATCAAAAGCTATTCTCTTCACTCTATACTGAAGATCAGATGACCAGCCAGAAACGATAAGTCACAGGTAAATCCGGGAGCAAACCAACCATGAACCTATTGATCAACAAGTTTACTGAAGAAAATGGAGATGGGTCTTCCGATGGAACTGAGCACAAGGCTTTCTCATGGAACCCAAATGGGAAACAGCTAGTCGAGCTTCTGTGCGTGACATGGAGGAGATTGTGTGCGCATTGGGATGACAGCTTATAGACAATGGTAGAACCGTCTAAATAAGACTGAAGTCCTTTGATGCATTCAGATCCCAAAGAAATAATCATAATAATATAAATACGGAATAATTTAGAAAGGAGGTAATCATCTTGCTATTGAAAACATTAGACCAGTAATTCTTAGTAACTGAGTTTAATATTCATAAGGAAACAGCACCATACCAGAGCGAAATGTCCTCAGTCTTAAGGAAACGAATATCTTTGTAGCCACTTGATTTCTTGATCATAGAAGACAATAAATGTCCTGCTGAGTTGTATGTTCTTTCCGTGGAAACTAACCGAATCTGCTGTCCATTAATAGGTATTAGTCAAAATCTGTCTACTATCTAAGGACGATATATGCACAGAGTGTCATGCATACTTTGGTATACTATACTTTGATATCCATGGTTTCACTTTCCAAATTTCTGTTCCATTCGGTGACATCTTTTCATCAGAATGAAACGTACACTAATGTCTGCTGTTCAGCTGAGTGAATACGTTTCAGTTACCAATATTTCCACCTCTAAATTATTTGGTTTTTATACTTCTTTACTCATACTAGTACCTTTAAAGAAAAAGTTACTTCTGAAAAAAATTGCAAAATCTATATTGGAGTTTGAAAGCAGTTAGCGGTTAAGAAGACTTTTAAGTGAGCCTTTAGTGAGTAGGTGTTTGGATGGTCGAATGCTTACCAATTACTCACGTGGTTCGGGTACAATTTTCTTCTGACACGCTCCTAAACCACATCATACCAGTAGTACTACTACCGATGAGGAGGTCAGTTTGAACGTGTGACTAGTAACCCCATCCTGCAAAAGAATCTCCAAAGTTCCACCCAGAACGAAAAGCAAGGCAAAGAAAGAAAACCTAAGGATATTGATTTTCTTAGACTCTTAATGACCTGTATACTTCTGAAAAGTGTTAAAAGTGGACGAAACGCATTCTGTATTTTTCTTCAATGACATTCATTTCATTCATTATTCTTTTTCCTTATCTTTTCTTTTCTTTTTCTCCATAGAAAGGTCAATTGAACGATTACATGTATCAAGCATTGATGAGTGATAGACATGACTTCGTCAAATTATTCTTAGAACAAGGTTTCAGTTTAGAAGAATTTCTTACAGTTTACATGTTAGAGAAATTGTATACAGATCAGTTGAAAAATCTGGTAACTTGTTTTTTTTAATTTTTCCCTCTAATACATTATCCATTTAAATTGTAGAATTCAAAAGTAGCCATTTTCAATAAAATGTGGGAGTACAATCGATCACATCGGGTTAGTTTATTGATTATTTATTTTATCATTATTATCATTGAGCATAATTATTTGACAAATTTTTTTGTGATCACAAGGTGTTTAATAGCAATCAGACACTTAGGGCTCAACTGAACAATAAAGCTTATCTACTGAGTGCTGACTGGTACCATCTGACCGTCAAAACTTTAGGGAATGAGAATGGGTTACAAATGTCTAATTTAGTGAGCTAAATCTTCGTGTTGAGTAACAGCTGCTCTTGTCCTTTGCTTTTAAATTCAATTTTGATTCTCCTTTTGATTGACTGAGTCGAAATGATTAGCCTTAGTTGACATGCGGCTTCTAGAATGGAAGTTTCGACAGTGTCTGAGGATTAACTTGAAGTACTTTGGTGAATGTTCACCCGAACATCTCTGTCCAATCAATTAACGGGAAATTCAGAAATGGATTAAAAACAAATAATAAGTGAGGTGGCCAAAGTGGTCGAGTGGACAACGTGTTAGCATTTGAAACGATTGGCTGTGTGTTGGAGTCCCAGTGGGAGCGTAATCAGTCACTGAGGAATGCAGGTACATCCACTAGCTGACGAGTCCCAAATAGGGAGAAATATGTATCCCAGTTGGAGATAGTGTTCTACTTGAGGTTCGACACCAGTGGTCATCGTTCCGAATGCCGAAGCGCTGATAAGCCAACAGAAATGATGTATAGGGGAAAACAGGAAAATGCATTCGACTACCACCGATTGGCCGATATAACTAGTTGGATACAATTCATATCAACAAGTAATGCTTGCTGGTCAGATTGTAGAAGTGGTTTAAACACACTAGGTGGTCAGTTCGCACGTGTGAGACGAAGCTCTTCGGCGGTGTACATGGTTTGACTCATCTGGGAGGGTCAAATCAGTTCAAATCGGCTGAAAATAGAAATTTAAATATTTAGAGAGGTAGGTATTATTCAGTTCAAGAATTTTCACAGGAGGAATGAAATTTGATATGACCGTCAACACCACCTGGTAGTTTATGATCCTCTTGCGCTAACGAAACTTTCCTACCTAGTAGATTTGACAGCCTTCTGAACTAGTCACTATTCCCAACGACAATCACCATGACACTATACTACAGATATGCGAGACAAGAATGGAAGATGACAGACAGAGCTTCCACTGCCTCAAATCAACCAGAGCAAAGGCTTAACAACAGTTCCGTGTGTATAATAGGTCTTTAAACGACCTAGAGAGACACTAAAACAATTAACAACCAATAGAATTCAACCATCATAAGAAGAGGGAAATACAAACATGGCAGTATTATAAATAAAAGTAATAATAGTTTAAGGATATGGAAAAGTTAAGTGTATGTAACAAAAATCGAATTCAACAGTATCAAAAATAAGTAAATACTTGAGAAATCCTTCATCTCATCGAAGAAATAACCGAAAATCTTCGCTACTGATGAGATCCAAATAGGGCGAAATATACATTAACCAAATAATATTATGAGTATACTACTATTATTAAGTTAAAAGTCTTCAATAATATTTTCGTTAGTGAAAACAAGTATACGCTTTAGTACTACACATTTTATCAATCTGAGATGTAGTCTTCTCTCTACCGATATTTATGTAATTGTAACTCATTAATGCTTCGATAATTCCAAGGGAAAAAAAGGACTATATTTATTTATTATAGATATATATAAAATATCCCTTTACAGCTGAATGGTTTTCATTTATGTAATTGAATTTCTCTATCGATTAGATGTACTTAATCTACAAAAATGACAAAAAGTATTTATGTAGGAATGCTATTCATGCATAACCTGGAAGTAACGTGCACATGTTGAGAACAGCTACATATATTTGTGTATAGAGTATTATGTGTAGATGAATGCCTTCACAAGCATTGAAATTAGTATTACAAATGCTTGTGAACTCATATAATGTCTCAGTTATAAATGGTATTCACAGTATAGTGAATAAGAATAAGCTATTTGGTATCCAGTACTCTAAATTGTCATTTTCAAGAGTCACTTAGTAGGGATATCGAGAAGTCGACAAAGTATGCTTGAATTCATTTGTACAAATCTGCTAATTTTAACTTCTTTTTTCTGAAATTTGAGTGGCAGTCAAAACTTTGCTGTAAATATTTTGAATTTGTCTTAATAACCAACGTTTCGTGATTATTGTCATTCGTCAGCGAGGTGTATCTGCAACTTTAAAGCAACTGATGAGATCTTGGAGACAGGAACGATAACTCAGTGCTTTTATCCAGAGTTGTCACTCTGTGGGAGTGTAATGATTGTATTCCTTCAGGAGTATCGGCCCACTGGGGTTCGAACCCAGGAGCTTCTCGTTAGAAGTCATACTCGTAAACCATTCAGCCACCGGGGCTAAATCCAATGAATCGCCCATGAATTTCAACTTCTACCGATTCGTGATCTTAAAGAGACCACCAGCCAATATCACCGGCGAGTACTGGTCTTCACACTCGACCTCATGGATCCCCCTCTTCGCGACTTCCCGGTAGGACTGCGGGCATGTTTCTCCTGTAGCTAGTCACTACAAGTGACTTTTGAAAATTAATCTGTTACAGTTAACCTCCAGTGGAAGTGTGACGGTTGTATTGACTGGTCACTAGGTTGTTGCCAACTTCATGCGATTAGTCCCTGGTAGGTAACACTGATTTGAATTTCAAAGAAGACATCAATTTCCAGTAAGCATGAAATCTATTTCCGTGGCTTTCTGTAGATTGTCTGCTGCAATTTAGAAGCAGCTAATTCGACGAAAATTTTTTATGTGAAAAGATGTATTTGTTAATGACCCTAAAAAGTGGAAACGTTATATCTCGACCAAACCTGAATTAGACTTCATTGCAGGATTACATTTTTACCCAGTGAGTGGATTGTAATGTACCCATTTTCTAACCTGAATGTGTCAGATTCGACCCCTGGTTGAATCAGAGGTTGATACTGTTACAAAATCACATAATTGAACGACAAAATCATCCAGTCTTCCTGGGTTTTCAGTAGATCAGATCCTCAGATAAAGTAGGTTCATGACCATTTCACCTGAATCTATCTGAAATTTTTTACACTGTGAGCATGTTGAATAATAATTATAATCATGTATTTTATAGAAATTAGGCAGAACAGTCTCCAAAGAGAACAAGGTAACTAGAGAGAATGGTAGAGACAGTAGTGTGTAATAGCTGTATTCGTTATCCTAACAACAGTAGTGATGTATGTGTATATATATATGCGCATAAAAGTATATAGTTTAAATAATATTTTTGAGTAATTTTATCTCAGTTTTTGTTTTCTGTGTATATCTGTTCTCAGTGTTCATAGCAGCGCTTTTATTAGCTTGTATTCTCTCCAATGCTCTGTGTTATTTTAAAAGATGCATGCACTCAGAAAATCTGTCGGGTTGTATGAAATATTTGTGTCTATCTGTAACTGTGTGCCTGACATGTCTCTGTAAACTGTGGTTGGTTAGCTGGACAGTTTTCAACAGTCAACATCCAGTTGACATCCAACTGTGAACAGAGATGGAGCATATATAGATAGGGCAGTCAGTCTGCTTTGTTACTTTTTATCCCTGACTGGGTTCTGGGGAAAAATACCGATTCTGTCTCCTTTCCTTATCTGCTTCATACTTGCTTCATACTTGTTTCCTTTTCTAGCATACCTGATATAACCACGATAATTCTACAGAATCATATATCCATGCATAATTAATTATACACATAACTTTAGGCTTAATTATCCTCTATTAATCATTTATTGTCAACTAGTCAACAAAATAGTCATTTTCTTTGTTTATTTGCTTATTCGTGTATCCCTGTGATACTTTATCTAACCTCAATAACATTGTCAAGTGTGTCCAGTCTATTTCCCGTGTTCTCTGTATCCAACTATCTCTCTTTCTCTCTCTCACTATGTCTTCTTTTATCTCTTTTCTTCTCTGGTTAGTTTTATGCAGGCGCATAGTGCGTAAACTACAAGATTCCTCAAGTCTTCATTCCTTCATTATTTATTAATATTATTGCTTCCTTGGGTTCCAAATGGAAGATAGGGCTCCAACAGCTCTCCTCTTGAACTTGGCCTGCAATTATCCATAATCTCTTATCTCCTCCAACTCACGTGATCTCCTCCATATCACCCTGGGACCGCAGCCCAACTCATCGTTTCCCATTTGGATTCTTTTTCGAGCGATGGCCTAGCTAACGCGTGATGGGATTCGATGGTCTCTTTAGTGGTGTGTGTCAAATCCATCTACGTTCACTCTTTTTGGTTTCTTCACAGAGTTTCTTGTTGCTAATTCTTTCTGGCTGGCTGTTTCATCTTCAATATGGAGCCAGCAAAGACTTGTTGGAAATGCTTTTTTTTGACGCGTCAAGTTAAACTTCATGAAAACTGATTTCTATTTATAGTCTTCGTTAAGTAATTCATAGTTGTTCGAATGTACATTTCCCTTAAGTGGAAATATTGCTGAAATGTAGAGTCTTCTGGATATACGGTGTGATTTATTTAATGTTAACACATCTGAGATCCGTTATTTATCTTAAGAATGTATCAATAATATTGACAAACATTTTGAAGGGAAATGCTCCAATGCTTTATCTACTTTCCTTACATAAACTTGAGTTTACCATCTGCCAATAGAATGCATAGGAAGAACTTCATTTTTGGTGGGTTTTTTCACAGTGATACCAACCAAGAGTTCGACTGTTCATTAATTGTCTGTTATAGTGATCAGCAACTCTGTCTGTTATGCTTCGTCCTCATTAAACATACCTCAGCATACTAAACGAGATGGGAGGTTTTCATGGTATCTGATCATATTAGCACAATTTGCCTTTAAAATCTGGCAAAATGAATAAGTCACTTAATGGGTCAATAAACCTTCCAAGCATACGGAGATTTGTACATTCATTACTCATACCAGCTTACACCTTATTAAAGTTTTCTGTCTTAATCAAGAAAGGGTTTTTCTGGAAATGACAAGGAAGTGTCTAAAACATAACGCTTGTAAAGTACGATTCAATTCTCTCGAGTAAGTAAGAGGCGTCGGTGGCATAGCGGTTAGGACGCTCGCCGACCGTGCACATGGTCCGGGGTTCGATCCCCGACCGACACACTCCTTTACCTCGCTAAGCCAGAAATAATGCTGGTGAAGAGGAAAGGTTGGGCATGAGGCTAGCAACAGCATCCTGTAAAATAAACACTGCTACAGAAACTTCAAGCCACTAGCTTGAAGCCCTATGTTCCACTGGGGAACGTGAAGGAAAAAAAAGATTTCAAAGACGCAAGATGCATTCATACCTTGCCTCACAATTGTATCATCATGTCTCTTTGGGAGCTTTTTCACTTCTGTTACAATTTAGCGTTTTACAGCTGAATATAATCTCATTTTCACATATCGATGCCCCTATTTATTACCATCGCACCCATTGTTCTCATGGAAGTCAATGAAACACTGTTCACTGTGGAATAGTGCTGTTATATTACTCTTCTCTAGGTAGCAGAACAAAAAGAGGAGAGATTCGACATAAGCGTAAAACTTAAATCACAGAAAAATTCTTTCGAACTGATTTCTAACACTATATAGCTTGATTGCTACTTTCAGCGCTAAGTTAGTTGATGATTTTATAATTTCTAGGCAAATCTCTATTTGTATCAGGTGGAAGCTAGTAAGCAAAAGTGCTAATTACTGCATAAAGAATTGTACAAAGTTATTGTTTCCCCAAAGCAACAAGTTGGCAGAAGAAGCCTCCAGAGAGGATAGGACTTCAGGTGAACATAGAGAAAACAGAGGTGATAATGAAGATTCCTGCCCGCCAACAGCACCAGCAACAACAACAGACAATAATCAGCATAAATGGGAGAAATTTGAAAGAAGCAACCTCTTTTACCTACCTACCTGGGAAGCATCGTTTCAACTACATGCGGGCGGAACTGATGAGGATATCAGAGCGAGGATCGGCGAAGCAAGGCAAGCTTTCATCACTCTCAAGTCTGTGTGGAGGTCAACAGCACTCCTCAGCATGAAAAATAAGATCCGGATTTTCCTTTTCCAGTGCTACTCTATACGTATCACAGACTTGGCGCTATCCCGCGTCACGAAGGGCACTTTGAACAAACTACCGACTTTCATCAACAGCTGTCGTCGCTCAATACTACTCAGGATCAGATGGCCGGCCAGAAAACGTCAGCAAGAGGGATCTCTTGGAACGAATGAATCAATGAGGAACCAGTTGTGCAACAAATCTTCAGGAATAAATGGAGTTAGATGGATTGGCCATACTCTGAGGAAACCATCAAGTGACATCAGTGGACAAGCCATTGCTCGAGTGGAACCCGAAAGGGAAGCGGCGAGTTGGTCATCAGTGCGAGGGTGACATGGAGGAGGTGATGCGAAGAGGAGATGAAAGCATGTGGGCAGACGTGGAGCCAGGTGGAAACGTTGGCTGAGGACAGGACGTAATGTAGACGTGCAGTTGAAGCCCTACGTTCCTCTAGGAACTAAAGGAAACAATAATAATTGTTTCACCCAGGCCAGTGGAAGTATAGTACAAACTACCCAGTAAGATATACACGATTATATTAAGTGCTATCCGTTAATCTGTCCGGTTACACCTTCATCTCCCGCGTCAGCTACTACGACTAATCATTTATTATTCGTCGTTGGCAAAGTGGTAGAATGCCTGCTAGCCATGCAGGTGGTCCGGGGTTTGATCCCCGGCCGGCGCACTCCTTTACCTCGCTAAGCCAAGTAATAAGACTGATAAAGAGGGAAGGTTGGGCATGAGGTTAGCAACCCCATCCCAGAAAAATAAACGCCACTGCTACAGAAACTTCAAGCCTCTCGCTTGAAGGCGCCTATGTTCCACTGGGAACGTAAAGGAATGAAAAGAAAATTTCCAAAAGTATAAGGTTTATTCATCTAATAGTTCAGTGATCAACGTGGATTATTCTAAAGCTCAAAGATTAGAAGTCAGTTGACTTCCTAACCACTTATCCTTAACAAATTCTGATTAATCAGAAGACGTAATAGAAAAGTAGTGAGTTAATTATTTAGTAAGACCATATTAATCGTTTACGTGATAAACGTCTAATCCAAAATCCCGTTTCTATTAGTTCATAAACACAAACAATCTGTCAACTAAAATGACTCATTCTGTGGGATACTTTTTCCAGTAACGCCTAGTAATTTAGCATAAATGTTACACCCTAGAAGTATTATTTTACTGGTGGTCTAATGTAACTGTACCGCTTGACTGTCACAAGAAGTGAAGACAACTGTACCACATTAAATAAATCACGATCATGTGGTCGCAAAACAGTGTCAAGCCACTGAAACTGATTAATAGGGATACCTTGACATTTCTTTTCACGTTTACGACATAATATACACAAGGGACCATCTAGACGAGGAGATTTGGACTTCTGTTACCCACTCATGACACTGGAGGTCTAAGTAAACTAAACCATTGGCTGGTAGTAAGCCCATAGAAAACAGAATGTTGGGAGGGGGTCTAGGGACCCCGCAAACATACAACCACCACTATAACTTCAAACCTCAAGGATTTATCCCCTATATTCCGCTCATAATTCAAGGAATGGAGAAATTCACCTCAGCAACTACTGACGAAATGTAGCACCGCAGTAAATACACCAACTAGGAATCAGTCAGCCGTCGATGTAGGCTGCAGGCATGCCTAACCAATGAAAATCATGAAGTTAGGGATCCACGTGAAATGTGACTTATGTCTTCTTCATAAGTCGTGTGTGTAGTTTCAAAGCAGATCATACTGTTGAATTCCGCTCAGTGACAAGCATATATTAGCAATGCTTGTTTGACTTTCGTTTGATAAATGCAGTACACTCTTTTGTAAACCACCATGATCTATTCCTGCGGATAGTTCCTGGAATTCAACGGTTAACTTCCATATTTGTAGTAAGTTAATCTGAGAAGATAACTACATAACTACTGTCTTCAAAAGATGATGATTCCATCCTCTGCTTTACACAGAAAGATGGCTGTGAAATTCTAAAGTGTAGAAATGGAATACAAGCGATGTTAAGTACTGTCTGGCTTTCAACAGCTACTCCAGTTGATATCAGTTTAACCTCCGTTTAAAATTCGCTGATTTTCTAAAGTAGTTTGAATTGTTTAACTATTATCATTTTCATTGTTCAATATGTTGTCGTAGTTGCATGTTAATGTTGTCGTGTTCAGTTTTAACACATATGTGCGCTGAATACTCTATACATAAATGTTGTAAATTAGACTAGCTAGTAGTGAACGTTTTTCTTGAAAAGGTTAATTATATTACTTTTGTAGCTGTAGAAAGTAGTATATATATAATTGTTATTTAACGTTTATACAGTTTTCTGTTTGTAGTGAATGGTCATTTATAACTTCGTTTTAAATGTTTTATTCTTTCTGTCTATTTCTGTGAAATCTTTACTACTACTAATAATAATGATGGTAACAACAATAATTAGACATCTAAAGTGGCTTTACGCGATGTCGGGAAGGTGATCAAAGCGTTGGTTGGCGATTTCTACCATCCATTATATCTAAGTAAAGAATTTCAAGCTAAACTGATGCCAGAGAAAAGGCTTGAAGGTGCAGGTAAGATTTGTTTGCTTGTTTTTTTTTGTAAAACATATTTTATAAACTACTTAAATATGGTAAATGAGTAGTACTACTACTGCGATCAGATAAATATAATTTGCTTGGAGAATCTTAGTTTCAAATAACTTTCATGTAATAATAATTGCTCTGGTGATTGAATATTTATCAGTCAGCTGTATATCAGAAGTGTATCTCAAATTATTTGACTATAGGACAGGTTTCATAGAGATCTCATTCACTATTCTAATGAAATGGAGTTATTTTTTTGACTATAGCTTGATTCCACACCGCATTTTTGGTACAAGTATGGAATTTTCAGCATGTGATATCGGTAGCTTAAATTTTGCAGGCCTACCATTGATATCAGGTGTGTGTCGGCAGGGGATCGAACCCCAAACCATGTGCATGGTCGGCGAGAGTCCTAACGGCTGTGCCACCGACGTCAGAAAAAATCACATATGTAAACGTAGCTTCATTTTAATATACTTTCAAGACACACACTCCTTATAAGATTAACTGGGAAACAGGTACCAGAAAGGGGAAGTTTCAGTGAAATTTAGTAAGCACTAATCGGTCTCCCAAAGCGTTTGAACTGAGTAGGACAAGGTTGCTTATTATAACTTATAATCTTCCTAACTGTGGGGAAGTGGTTTATGAGACAGGCCATGGGAAGTGGAGAAACGAGTTTGAGCTCAACTAACAGAAAGATCCCAGAAAATCCGGACGCCACAGTTTATTTATGTCGAGTTTCATACAATCTAAAATATTAACAAGCGAAAATCAACAAGTTCTCAGAAGAATTGGCGAAGACAGAACTTCAGATGAGCACAGAGAAGAAAGCGGAGATGAAGACAACAAACCAACAACAACAAGTACCAATCGCCATCAGTGGGATAAATTAAAATAAAGCCATCTCTTTCAGTAAGCCCCGCAGCATCCTTTCAGTATGGCTGAGGATGTCAAATCCAGGATCATATAAGGACGATTGACACTTTTCATTCCTAAATTAGTGTACGGATCTCTAAAGCTTGGTCAGAAAAGATAAGTAACGAGGAAACCTGTCAGTGAACCAATGAAGATTTTACTATTCCACAAACATACAGAACGGAATGGAGATGAATTGTAATATGTGCTGAGGAGAACGTTGAATGACATCACAAGTCAGGCCCTTGAGTTAAACCCGAACGGGAAGTGTCGAGTTTGGTATGGTTCAGAGGACGACATGGAGGAGATCATGTAAGCAGGAAACGAAAGCCTGTGGAGTAGTTGTTGAGCCAGCTAAAAGAGACAATAGAGAACAAAATACAATACCGCTTTTCTGTTAAAGGCTTATGTTGGACTCTAAACTCAAGAAATGAATAATCATAATATAATCGATCTCACATTAACCAAACATTTTTGGTTGAAACCATGAGAAATATTTAGTGCGTTGTAAGTTATGGTATAAGTGCGGACGATGATCAGAAGTTCAGCGGCTACGAATTAGTAGTCATAAGGCTTATTCTGATGTAATTCGAATTATTCTGTTGACTTTATTCAGTCTACCGAGGTAGAAGCTGGGACTGAACATGTGCTGTTTCTATTTTGGCTAACAAAGTACCCATGAATAGAAATTATCCACCGGATAAAATCTATTAGTCGACAATAAACCATATTCATTCAAAATCTATACTAATTTCTGGAGTTTAGGAAAGAGACTACGAAGTTTTCATGCAAAATCTGTGATTCTTAAATGAAATAACAATATTAATAATCACTTTATTTCAAACTACGCTGTTGGACAACAAAACTTTTCACTACGTATACTGTCAAAAATTTACTGCTTTCCTCAAAGAAAATTGAAAAGAATAGTTATAGAGTCTGCAATCTGTGCTAAGTATTTCAGGGACAGTCACTATGATATTTTCTCTATGAAAAACACGAAAAGCGATAGTTTGAAATATGTGAATTAAAATCTGATGATTGTAGGATTATTATCATTCTTCCCTTGGGTTCCGTGTGGAAAATAGGACTTCAACAACACATCTCCACTTTCTTGTACTTTCTGCTGTCCTCTTTAACTGTGCACATACGATTGCCTATCGTCTCTCATCTCCTTCAACTCACATGACCTCCTCCATGCCACCCTTGGACTCACGCCCCACTCATCGTTTCCCTTCCGGTTCCACTTGATCACTGGCCTGACACGTGGTGTCAGCCAACGGTCTCCTCAGTGAGTGTCTTATCCACTTCCGTTTTCTCCGGCACATTTGTTGAGCAATAGGTTCTTGACTGGCTCGCTACCAGAGTTACTTGTTGATAACCCCTTCTGGACGGCCATTTGATCTTCATATGGTTGTTGCTTATGTTAATCTGCAACCTGTTGGAAATGTTAGTGACGCGCGTTGCAAGTTTCTGACCCATACAGGAGAACTGAGTGACTGGACATTGATGCAGAAGATTTTCAAACCGATTTCACATTTATGAATGTGTACCTTACCTTTTGGATCCTGGCTTTAACATCTTCATCCATTCCGCCTGTAGCTGAAACGATGCTCGCTTCCTAGATGAGTGAGGGGAGTGAACTCAATAAAATTTCTTCCTTTGGAGGTGATTGGTGCTGGTTGTTGTTGCTTTTTGTTGGGTTGTTATCTTCATCACCTCCTTCTTCTCGATGTTCACCTGGAGTCCTGTCTTCGCTGGCAGGTTCATCTTCCAACTTGTTGGTTTTCACTTGTAAGTTTTTGAGTTTGTGGAACATTAGACATGAATCATCCTCGAAATCCAGATCTTCAGGAGTCTTCTAATCGGTGGTTCAGCACATTCCTGTCTTCTCGCTTCCTACGCGCAGTCTTCTGCACAATCCAGTCCACTACAATCAGGAACATCATTTTTGATAACAGACAGGCGATCTTGTCTTGGTCCTATATTAATTTCAAATGCCGTGCTAATTTGAGGATGGGTTGAATAAAAACAGAATGAGATAATGTGAAGCTATAAGCTAGTTTCTGATGAACAACGGCTATTTGGTAGCCTAAAGTTCAAGTAGCCTGTCACTTGACTTCTTTATCTCAAATGTTATTCACCTCCCACTAAGGATTTTTTTCATTAATGCAATTCATGTACACTGAGCTTATTCAAACAAAAGTGGTAACCTATCCCAGTTAACTGATTTTAAAATTTTCCATGTGTACAGTACATCTGTATGTGAATATTTTGCTGACCTCTTACTTATTAAATGCAACATTATGTTACCTAGACCTTAACACTAACTGACGACCAACACTAATAAGCACCAAAGCTATATTCAGGGCTTCCTACCAACTGCCTCAAACCACCTTATATATATTTATCAAAGTTTCGGTTAATTTTGCTTCAGTTGCTGTGTTAGTTGTTGGTAAAAAGTATCAACAAGCGTTATATTATGATTATTCTGATGGCTGATATACACTTCATTGCCTCGATATTAATTTATCAAAGAGGTTCAAGAAGACGATGAACACCAATCTATTGGAGGAATTCGTAGAGTTGTAATTCCTTGATTACTCTCGCTTATACACTGAAGATTTAAAAATAGACTCGTCCTAGTCGAATGCTAATGGGACATCAGAGTAACTTCTACTTCACCAGTGAGAATAAGCAAAACTGATAACCCATAAGCAATTTCTTTAAATCAAGGAATACACACATTGGATCATAGGAATTAATAAAAAGACGGTTGCAGAGAAGAAAATTTTCTTCTCGACATTCGTGTATTTACATTACACTTGTGAGAAAGTTTCAGAATTACTTCCGATCAGTGATCAGATTAATAAGATTACTAAGTGTAATAAACAGAAGACAGGTAGTGGCACTATTCTAGAAATATTTCAGGTCAGAGGTCAAATTAAAAATTAAGATGTGTGATAATCAGAAAGAAAAGACAAAATAGAAATACAATTAATAGAAAACTAGTCAGTTTGTATAATTATGGGTTAAGGATGTAGTATTAACAAGGTGGGTAGGAGGTTCGGACATATAAAAATAAAAACAGTAACCAGATCTAATAATGCAGATAGGGATTTAAAAGGTAAATATAACAAAATAAACGGGAAGGTTGGACAAGAAAGGTAATAGGATAGTGATTATTGGTGAGACTGACTTTTCATGATGGCCATGGTAGGGACAACGGTTGGATGTATTTCTTTTGGACACATAGAGTAGGCTTGAGTTTTCGGACCTCCAGTGCCTCAGCTATTCCTAGATGTCTTGATTTTACTCCCTTTGTTAGGTTTGATCGGATCTTATATATGGCTTTGAAGAACTTTTCAAATGGGCTGGATATCCAGAATTCACCAGATGTTCTGTTATCAAACTGTATACCCCTTTGCGTTCTCCTTTTGCTAGCCATACTGGATAGTGTTCCCGCGTGCATTTTCTTTAATGGATTATTATATTATTATTATTCCCTTGGGTTCCCAGTGGAACTTACGGCTTCAACAGTACTTCTCCATTTCACCATATTATCTGCTCATAAGCTCACATCTCCCTCATGTCACCTTCGACCCCTTGTCCAACTCACCATCTCCCATTTGGGATCCACTTGAGGGTCTGTCAGATGCGCGATGTCACTCAACAGTTTCCTTACAGTGTGACCAGTTCATCTCCATTTCTTTCAGCACCTTGGTTAATCAATAAGTTCTTGAACGATTGGTTCGTTCCAACAGTTCTTTATTGTTGATCATTTCCGGTTGGCCATCTGATCTTCAGTATGGAGTTAGTAAAAGTGGCAGTTGCTGATGGAAATTTGCATTAACGAGCCAAATCTCTCGCCTATGTTGACGCTAATGTTGATAACTCGAATCTTGTTAGCCAATGTCGTAAATTCGAGTTGCCAAATAGTGTGAATGTGTTTTTTTTGTTTATCACTGATGGACCTAGTGATCCTAGTACTTTCAGCTGGAATGTTTTTGTTATCTTTTTATTTTCCCATCTACCCTGATTATTAAGAATCATAATATATGGCATAAAGAATTTAG